GTGTTATTCTTCCTTTACAACTTTCCTAATTAGCAACTTAAACCCACAGCAGGAGAGGGCAGCGCACTATCCATGATAGACGCCCTACTATGGCTCAACAAAGAGGAGCAGTAGAGGAATTTTCATTAGAAAGAACCCCCTCCCACCCACCCAAATGCCCTAGACCCCACTGTGAAATTACAATGGCACAAAAGAGGTGCCAGCGGTGCTGTGAACTCATAACTGAAGTTGTCACCACAAAAGTACCACTTTGGAGATGTACATGGAGGAACATGGGTGCAGGAGGGTTCACTTCCTGTGATAAGGTAAAAAGGAAGTGAAACATAAGCCCCCCACCCCTTCTCGTGGCCACCCATTAAGGAAACCTGGGCTCTACTTCTGACACGCTCTTTCTTGTCAGGCACGGGGGGCCTGATGATGTCATCGAGCTTTCATCAGCGCTGTCTTGTTTTGGTGCAGCAAATAAACGGCTGTGGTGAAAAGTGGTTAGATGAACGACCCCTGGCAGTGCCCAGCCAAACGTCTGTGCTGTCAAAGCGCAGTGATGCTGCCCATTTCATATGGAAATCAATGCAGCAGTATGCAGGCCATTGGCAAACAAGTGACTTTGGCTCTTAGTGCTACAAACAAAACAGTGAAAACCTGAGGGGCCTTGGCAGAGGTTGGGGCTAAAAACAACAAGGACACAAGGCAAGGAATAAAGTTTAGGTGTGGAACAAACTGAAGAATATTTACCAAATTTACCAAGTCAATGTGAGAAGTAATTTTTGAATGAATTAAGCCCTTAAGTGAAACATCATTGGGTTTTTTCTTGAAGCTTCTAACTCTTTCTAGACTACGTACTCCACGTCTGTAACCTTGAATCTCTGTAACTTAGGCCAAGGTAACTAAAGGAAAAGAACAGATTTGTGCCAAATGCATTCTTTTTTTTCTGAGGCTTTGCTGTTACTGTTGCACAAGGATTTAGGCTCTTATACTGGAAAGAGGCGTGAGTTTTACTGTGCACATGCTAATACACATTTTTTAGATTCAAACATTCAATCGGGGCAACATACCTGATCAAACATATAAAAAAATAATTTACAAGTACACAAAAAAGTACATTACAGTTTAGGCCCGCTGAAATTTAATATGTTTTTGTTTTAGAATTATACATTTATGTCAAACTTTTTTATAATACTGGAAAAATCTCTTTCAGTATTTAAATTTTTTTGGACAAAAAGATGTGATTTTTTTTGGAAAACACAAAACTAACAACTATATTTGTATATATATATATTCAACAATAATGAATATGAAATGTTAATCCATATTTATTCTGTATTCATCATCCTTTTTTATATAAAGGTAATAATTAATTTTTGTGAACATAACAAGAGTTCAAGGGCCAAAGATTTGGTTTAAGGACAACTTAAACCACTGACAAAACATGTCAGGATCAGCATTTATGGCATATGACACTTAACAAATCAGCTATTAATGCCAGGGTCAGCAATTTGAAGCAGTTTCAAGGCCAAGTCCTGGATAATTTGTTACAGGAAACTTGTGGAAGAAACAATTATTAAGTTTTGTTATTTTGGTTAGAGATTAAGTGTCTGCGCTACTCAAAGGGAAACTAGAGATTTAAACGATTTGTAATCTTACCAGAATATTCCAACTATATTTACATGACACAATTACCCGGGCAGCATGTTTGTATTTACCAAATGGTGAGTTCTACATCTAGTTGGCACTTAACCTTGGCCAGCATTGAGGCAATGTGCAGGCAATTGAGGCAATTAATAGTAAATGCCAGAGTCATATTGTTTATTCTATGTTTGGCAAGTAAAATGCTCCTTTCTGGGAACTGTCTGACACAATAACAATACCAACAAAGGTTTATGTTTATTTTTAAATAGGGTAAATAACCGCAACATTTTTATAGTTCCTGGTAAAAGTTTTTTTCCTCTAACACCTCCTCAGAAATGATTCCATTCTGCAGAACCTGCGGTGTAATTAGTAACTTGATTCACACTAAGGAGCTTACAATCTAAGGGTTGAGCAAAAAGAAAGCAGATTACAATGTGAGAAGCAGGATCCAGCTGGGACACAAACAAACAGTGTAGCCAAAGATGTCCAGTAATAAAGAGCAGCATCAGAGTATTTTCAACATCCATCTGATTGTATGTGTGAATTTAACTCATCTTCGTTTATATTTTGGTTTAAATCAGTACTATTTCTACGAAACCGGCTCCAGTGAGCGGGGTTTGTACCAGTAGCTCTCAGTCCTCACAGATTGTCTGTAAGTCACATGCTCTTTACGGTTACCTAGCAACAGTAAAGCTCAGGCAAAAGTTCCTCAGGAGAACTTCCAATCTGTCTGAGGAGGGCTTTGTGCCTAACCTTTAGAGTAACCCTATGTGGTAAAACGTTTTAGGCTTTACAGCCAAAACTGCCTCACTTTGTGGCCAGGACTTAATGGGTGGAGGATATTGTGTAGCTCCAATAAAACAAAGACTCTCTGGATCCACAACAAGGCTGTGTGTGTGTTGTTGTTGTTTTTTTATAGATTCAATTGGCTGTGTGTGTGTTGTTGTTGTTTTTTAATAGATAATTAAATTCAAGAAATAGGAATTATTTATTACTGTCTTTGTTTATCTGAAGTGGTTGGTTCGGATGCAGCAACAAGTGCAGTGAGTGGAGGAGTGGAGCCTCTGACAACCCGAGTGAGGATAGAAAATGAAGTAAATTGAATAAATAAATCACAGCACTTACCCTCAGAGTGGCACCACCTCACACCGCATAAGAAGATGAGGAGAAGTTCGAGAAGCGATGCTCTCCACATTCTGGCTGCTCCGTCCAGCTCCGCTGTGCAGATGGAGGAGCTGTGGAGGACTCGTCCTGAGATGCTGCTGCTCTCCTACGTCTCTCCTTCTTGACCCGCTAGTTGATGAAAAGGGGCGTGGACAAAGGCCAGGAGAACCTCTCCCCCAATCCGGTCTCGGCCCTACGGATAAATAAATCCCTCCTTGGCCCCGGAATCTGCATAATGCCACGCTGCTTCTGCCGACCAAGAGCCACAGTCCCAAACACACTAGTGGCTGCTTTGATTCTCCAAAGTTACTCTGTGGGGCAAATGTTTGGAGCAATTTAGGAACACTAAAACTTAAAACACATTACATCTGTTTGTTTTAAATGTAAAACATTTAAAGTTATGGAACAAAAACTGTGGTTATAATTATGTAATTATAATTACCAGATTAGAAAGTAATATAAATCCAAGAAATAATTGACAGAAATACGGGTTGAAACATCACAATTGCAAATTAAAAGTGTAATAAATAAAAAAGATGTCAGTGTATGTATCTGTACAGTCACACGAAACTTGAAAAAAGTTATTAAGTAAAGATTATAAGATAAATGGTTAGCTTTCACGTGAATTACATGAGAATGTCATGTAAGTAATTTTTAATAAACCGCCACAACTACAAGCTTCAAACGATAGAAGTTTATATTACTTTATAAGTTAAAAAAATCGAATTTACGACATTCAAATCGAAATCACGAGATAAAATCAGAAATTAAAACGTCGATAGTTTGCAAAGAAAGGACCGCGAATCTACAATTCAACAATGAGATTGAAGTTAAATGACAAAAGAAAACGTCGAAATCATAAGCTACGAAAACAACCTCTCCAGTTAACGTCTCAAAGTCCAACTTAAAAAAAAAATCATAGGTGACAAAACGCCATACCTTGAAAACAAAAATGTTCTAAATCTGAGGTGGAAAAATAACAAGAGAAAATCAAAGAGTTATTAAGTCGAAACTATGGGATAAAATGTAAATATAGTAGCATAGAAATAGCCCCTGCTAAACAATTATTGCACATAGCCTAGCTTATAATACCTTAAATGATGGATTTCTAATCTCACCATTTTCTCTCTATTAAAAATATGTTATATATTTGACCGAGTAAGAACTAAAAAAAATTAACCAACCAAATGATACTCCTAAACCGGTTTTAAGAAATTATTAAATCTGAAATTGTTCTTTTTACGCGCTGGAAAACAAACTCGGACTGGGATCGGCCTGCCTCAAAAGCGGCTCAACATCGCCCTCGTGAGTCCGTTACATTATTATTATCGTTAAATTCCTAGTTCAAACTTGGTTACCATTCATAAGGTTATTTGAGTGACAATTTGAAATTTTAAAAGATTTTAAATTATCAAACAATAAATCTATTCTTTACAAAAATAAATAAATAAGGAAACTCCACATAGCTGCAAACAGGTCACAGGTGGCACTGTCGCAAAAAAGGAACCATAAAATGTTTGAATTGTTGTCATTAGCGACCAATCAACTAAACCCTGGGGCAGTTGAACATTACGGATATCCGCAAAATAATTTTATTTTCTGGATTTACAGAAAAATGCTGAAATTTCACAGCAACACATAATGTGTGTGCATTTCACTTTTTGCTGGTGAGTCTGACTTTTAAGTGTAAAATCTCTGTTACATTTCATGTAAAATTAATATATATCATTTCGTGCACAGTACTATCTTTGCAATGAATTATATTTTGCCGTAACATTTAACTACTTGCACGTATTCTAATAATGTATCCAATTACAAAGATTTCCCAACTACTTCACCGTGTTTATTTACATGTTTATTACTTCATTCATTGCTTCTGAGATTCTGTTATTGATATGATTTAAAATATGTTATATATAGTGAAAAAAATGACATTAGAATGAAAAAAAATGACATTAGAATGAAACAAGGGCTTTGTGCAAAGTAATTCTATTGTTGTCTTATTAGCATTTCAAATCTCAAACAAGACTAAACCCCACCAGAGTTTGTGTGGGATTTTTTATCAATATCAACAATGAACACTAGTTTTATTAACAGTTCTCCAAGAAATTAATAGGAAGAAAAAAAAACTGTCACTGCCTTTTATCCAGCTGTGCTGATGAAAGGATTTCATTAGAATCAGTGTTCACCTCTGTGCCTTTTAATACAAATGAATACCAAGAGGAAAAAAAACTCACCAATGGTAGAGTTTCTAAATAAGTATCACTGATGTATTAAAGTACAGTTTTACCTGCCAACCAATACATCAAGTTAACGCATCTGGAGAAGGAATTGGAAGTTGATTCCTGTAAAAAAAAAGCAAATAAAATAACATTTTGTAATCATTTAACACAAGGCTGATAACATCACAATGAACCAAGAGGTATGCAGGTTTAAAATACTTTAAAAAGTATGGAGTTTGTAGATAGTATAAAGATAGTATAAAAATAAAATCTGTCTACCAGAGATAACCTAAACTTCAAGGTAGCCTTAAATTCCCTTTTTCCCATCAGGAAATGGACAACATTCAGAGGTCAACAGAAAGACTTCTAAACCTTTCTGGGGAGGGTGTGTCAGAGACACTGCGGTCCAGGATAGATGAACAGTCGAGTCTCATCTCCATACTGAAAAAGAAATCCGATGAGTTGCTTCATCGGTGCCAAGCTTTGGAAAATGTCAACACGACACTGGAGGAGAAAATAACAAACTACCAGGAGGAACTGGAGGCCAAGAGCAGGAAAGAGAAGTTGTTGGAGAAGAGATTCACAGAATTAGCGACCAACACACAGTCCATTATTTCCTTCATGAATGAATACAAAAACGAGAACGCCACGTTGAAGGCTGAAAATAAACAGCTGCAGCTTGAAAACAACACCCTTTTCTCTCAGAAGTTGCAAGACAAAGAAGGAGTCGTTCAACAACTGAAGCAAGAAATTAAACTGGTCACGGAGGATTCTACAGTAAGAGAAAAAGTCTTCAAGTAAGTTAATCAACAGATGGACAACAAGATCCTTGGTGGTCATTGGTTATTATGTAAAGAGTGAATTTAATTGAATGGGTAGATTGAATATTCTTGGAATTTACTACTGCGTGTCATCGCTTGACTGACAGTGTATTCATCATTAATGTTTTAGGGAGAAATTAGCAGAGTACCAGTCAAAACTGGATGAAACCACTCAGCAACAAGTCATGGAAGTGTCCCTCCTTCATCAGCTGCATGATGCCCAGCAACAGCAAAATGAAGCTGTGGAGACAAGTAAAGGTAGGGAGACCACGCAACACAAAGTCCTGCAAAAATGTAAGTCCTCACTTTTGAAAAACAAATCAAATCCTTCCTTCACATCAGGCTTAAAGTTGGAATTAGAAAGAGCTGAGGAGAAGTTTGCTTTGAAGGAGATGGATCTGAGGAAAACCATAGCAGGCCTGGCAGAAGAGAAGAGCAAAATCTTATCCCTGTCCATGGAAAGAGCTCGAGTGATACAGGTAATACAATGTTTGCCCTTTGTCCTGAATTTGTCCACTTCATGTGCAAACAAATGTGTTTGAACACAGGTGAAACAGGAGGAACTCCAGCATTTGAAGAAAAGATGGAAAGAGGAGAGAAAAACCATAATTCAGGCAGATGAAAGGTAGTTTAGAAAGGTTTTGTTTTTTTTTTACTGCACATCTGAGTAAAAAATAACATTTATCTTTGTCTGTGACCTAGTGTCAGGTTGGCAGAAGCTTCAAACACAGCCGTTGCAGTGAAGAACCTGCAGCGTAGTCTCAGTGAAACCACCCTCAAGTATGAGAGGCTTAAAAAGGTTTGTTAAAACTGTTGTTCTGGAAAAAATGTCTAGACTGAAAATACTTTATACAATATGTTTTTTTTTCTTTAATTTAATAGGACTTTGAAGCCTTCAAGGAACACAGCTGCAGACTCCTCACACAGGAGAGAGAACTAAATAAGAAGCTACGACAAATAACAGGCTAAACCTGAGGCCCTTCTTCGATGTGCATTAAGAATACGACAAATAACAGGCTAAACCTGAGGCTTATGTACCGTCACATCCACCAGATGATGCCCTTCTTAGATGTGCATTAAGAAGTACAATCTGTAGATTCTTAATTCACCTTAATTGTATTGACAAAGGGAGCAAAAGGTGAAAGATAATACTGGATGACCAAGATAAATTGTAAAAACCTTAGGGAATCAAGATCAGGCATAAAAGGATCATCCTCCAAAGTTTGGGTTTTAATTTAAATTTAATTTTTGTCTAGTTTTACTCATTGATTTATTTCAATGAGTATAGTGATTTTCTATGCAATTAACTGTTTTTTGCCATTTTATAAATAAACTTTATTAAAAAAAATCTTTTTTATAAATAAACTTTATTAAAAAAAAATCTTTGTCCTTTTGTCTGGTAAACTTCCATGTTCACTACTTACAAGTTTTTAGGATTTTAGGAATGTTTGTAATGAAGGTAAAGTGACGTTGCATTTATTTGATTTCACCGTTGACCAATAGCACAAGAAAAGAAATAGTGTGGACCAAAGAAAACTATAATATCACAATGTAATTTATTTATTTCATTTACAGGGGCACTGAACAACAATGGTGTTGTTTTAATAGGTAATTATTCTGTACAAAACTTTTACATGAATCACTTAGGAATGCTCCTCTGCCAGCTTTTCAGCCTTCTGCACCACCTCCTCAATGGGACCCACCATGTAGAATGCCTGCTCTGGCAGGGCATCGTATTCACCTGTCATTCAAGACAAAGATAATCAATTTTCTATTTACTTTAAACCTGTAGCAGAAGCTTCAAGCGCAGTAAAACACTTTACCTCCTAGAATACTTTTAAAGCCTTTGATTGTTTCCTTAAGTGGCACCAACTTTCCCATATGGCCAGTGAAGACCTCGGCAACCTGGAAGGGCTGCGACAAGAATCGCTGGATCTTGCGAGCACGTGCAACAGTCAGCTTGTCCTCCTCGGACAATTCATCCATACCCAGGATGGCAATGATGTCTTGCAGTGATTTGTAATCCTACGACAAAGTACAAACAGAAAGGGAGTACAGTTCAGAGGCATGCATATTTTGAGTGAACAACCTGAGAGATGAGGCTTACCTGAAGAATTTTCTGTACACCACGAGCAACATCATAGTGCTCGGCTCCGACAATGTTGGGGTCCATGATACGGGAGGTGGAATCCAGAGGGTCCACAGCAGGGTAGATGCCAAGCTCAGCGATGGCACGGGACAACACAGTGGTAGCATCCAAGTGAGCAAAGGTTGTGGCAGGAGCAGGATCAGTCAAGTCATCAGCAGGTACATAAATGGCCTGTGATACAGTGAATAAAGTTAACATGGGGGAAAAAAAGCCAGGGTCCTAATATGGTTCTAGGCTTCATCCTCCTGGACTGTCTCACCTGTACTGAGGTGATGGAGCCTTTCTTAGTGGTGGTGATTCGCTCTTGCATTGTACCCATATCAGTGGCCAAAGTTGGCTGGTAACCCACAGCAGACGGGATGCGACCCAGTAAGGCAGACACCTGAAATCAAACATCTCTTTAGGGACACCTGTGGTGTACTGTGAAACTCCAGCTGTGTTTGACAGATTCAGACGTTTCTAACCTCTGATCCAGCCTGAGTAAACCTGAAGATATTGTCAATAAAGAGCAGCACGTCCTGTCCCTCCTGATCACGGAAGTACTCGGCAACAGTCAGACCGGTTAGAGCAACCCTGGCACGGGCACCAGGAGGCTCGTTCATCTGACCGTACACCAGAGCTACCTGTGGACGATGAGAAAATTATTTAAGAAAAACTGAAACATCAGGGACCATATTATTCATATCACACTCAATTATACTTTTTGAAAGAGATTGAATCTGTACACACTTTATTTCACATTTTAAAAATAAAAGGAGAGAAGAATCACCCTTCCCAAATGTAAAGTTTTACCTTGGATGTTGTGTCTTTCAGGTTAATGACACCAGACTCAATCATTTCATGGTACAAGTCATTTCCTTCACGTGTGCGCTCTCCCACTCCAGCAAACACAGAGTATCCACCATGAGCTTTGGCTACGTTGTTGATCAGCTCCATAATTAACACAGTCTTTCCCACACCTGCACCACCAAAGAGACCTTAAACACATAATAGACAGAAGTCAAATACCTGGGAAGGAGCAATTGTGTTTTTTATATATATATATACAGAAGTCAAATACCTGGGAAGGAGCAATGGTGTTTTTTAATATATATATATTAAAGGACAACAGGATGTGATGAACCAACCAATTTTTCCTCCCTTGGCATAAGGAGCCAGCAGATCCACCACCTTGATACCAGTAACCAGGATCTCCTGTTCCACACTCATGTCAGTGAACTCAGGGGCTTCAGCATGAATAGGAGCTGTCCTGCAGGATAATAACAAAAGAACAATAATATTAATAAATTAATATATAAAACATTTATAATGCATTAACATATTTATATACAGGTGTTTATCTAGAACAACTCATATTTTTCACTCACTGCTTGGTGCTAATTGGACCCCTCTCATCAATGGGTTCTCCAATGACGTTCATGATCCGGCCCAAGGTCTCGGGGCCCACAGGGATCCTGATGGGGGCTCCAGTGTCCATAACCTTCTGGCCACGAACCAGGCCTTCTGTGCCATCCATGGCAATTGTTCGGACTGTGCTTTCACCTGGAGAAACACAAAAGTAAATATTAAAGACCACAGCAGGCTTGGACACTGATTCTTATTAGACTGCAACCCACTTACCGAGATGCTGTGCGACCTCCAGCACCAGCCGGCTGTCACGACCAAGTACTTCCAGGGCATTGAGAATGGGAGGAAGATCCTCATCGAACCTTACATCCACCACGGCACCGATCACTGCCACAATCTGGCCATTGGCCAGTGCAGCCTTAGCCGCTGGGGCTGCATAAGCCCTGCCTGAAGGGGCAAAAAAAGACAGAGTATGTAGCTACAACAATATCAACAATGATTTTATTTTTAAGTTTAGAAAAAAAAATAACAAAAACCTCTAACATAATGGAAAGTAGCCTCTGCTTTAACAACAACACTGCTGACACGAAGCATTGATATCAAATCAAACATCAAATTCTTTAACAAATAACTTGAAATGGAACTTGTTTCAGATATTGAAGCATTGCAACAGGTGTGAGTTCCATTTGACTTTTTTTTCAGTTGACATCCGTCAAGTTATATACATACAGACATGTAAATGTACATGTGATATTTTGGAACAGAATGTGAAACAAATTCATTGTCTTTACATAACTGTCGTGGTCGATGATGATTCAAGTGAGTGTCACGGTTAAGGTCTTGTTATGACTGACGAGGAAAGGTCATTCAATAATACCTGTTACCAGCACTTTTCTTGTGCAAAGAGCCTCTAATCTTGGTAGTAATTTGACGATACCGTTAAAAACAGCTGTTATTTATTTGTAGTTATACACCATGAATAAATTAAACACATCACGTGCAAATGAACCAAAAACTCTGTGGTCATTTTATGCCGGGCCTCACTCAGCCTCTCCTTTGCTTTTAAACAACGCTGACAGACACTCAAAGTGAAAATATGTACTCACTGGCATTTAGGGCTGCGTGTTTAGCAGTGATGTTTTTTAAAGCGTTAAATCCAGGCTTGAAAGCCTGCAGGGAACCGCTGCAGCACCGTCCCACTGCGCCCAACATGGTTAAGATGGCTGAAGGTGAAAACGCCGTTCACTTCTGTCAGGGTTTTACTGAATACTGATACTGAATACTGGGCATGCGCGTATTGCGGGGTTGTTATAGTTCATCCTTACCGGAGAGGGCAGCACTCACCCAAAGCTTCACTTGTGGCTCCGCAAAAATAAAGGATTCTATTCTCGAACCTGTACATGATAATAAAAATAATTGCAATACAAAGCAAAGGTAGGAGTTCGTCATAAGTGAAAGAAAATTCATGTATTTGGGCATGTATGCCTTCTATAAACAAACATTTAGAGTAGAGTAGACCAATTGTTATTTCATTTTTATTTCAAGTTATTTAAATAAGTTGAAGGCTAAGTTGTTTGTACATACATCATTCCAATCTTACAAAAACGAACGTTTCCTATGATTTCTTCTCTTTTTCTTGTTTTTAACTAATTATCTCTTTAATTTTAATTGTACTTTTTATTTATGGAACCTTGTACATGCTTTTAAATGACCTGTTACTGAGCTTTGTTCCAAAAAAACAAATAATAAAAATATAACTACACCCCTATTACAAGACTAATTGAAATAGTTATTATACCCACATTTAAACAGGGTTAGAGCTAGAAGATTTAAAAAAATTAAACAAATTTTGGATGAACTTTGGATTTTCTAAGATGTGAACTGTTTATTTATGTCTGACCACAGTATATGTATTTTTTAGATCTTATCATTCAACACATGTACTCAGATCAGAGATGTTGTATGATCAGATTTATCTGACAGACCTCTCCCCGATGTTGAGCTATTAAATAGCTCTGATAGACGTTAAAATTCCTAAAGAGCAGTCCAGACCCAGAGGCAGAAAAGCCCCAAATCAAGATGCTCTCTTCACTATTCTTAATAGCTGTGATGATGTTTTCAGGTTGGTATGCAGTGACTTTTATGTCAAATCAATCACTACATGTTCTTGCCAAACAATTCAGCCTTAGTTTTATTAGACAATTAAACACTTTCCTACTTGCAAGCTTTTGCCCTCTGTAATGTTTGTGTTGCACAGAAAATACTTCTTCCATAGTATCTTGCCACCGGCACCATGCTTAATTCAACAGCACTCTTTCTTTAATGACAACTATGTTCATTTATTTGGAATGTATTGTGTGTCTCCACAGGTATTGTACCTTGCTGACCAGAAAAGTGCCCAAGGTTCCTCAAGGTTTCAACTTTGAGCTCACATTTAAAGGCAAGTTAAAAATTTACATTTTGAAACTAGCCTTATGAAAACCAGCTTTATGAGGTACATCAACCTCGACTGTTGACTGCTGGTGCTGGGAGGTCACATATGCATTAATAGCAATAATCAAAAACACAACTAAATTAATATGGTTAACTGTGCAGACAGTGATCATACCAGAGCCAGCCAGGGACCACTACCACATTTAAATTCATTAACAGTTTCCCTTGCATTTGTGGCAACAGTATGATGATGATGAAAACATTTCTCATAATATCAATTTAATTCCATTTTGTTTTTCATTTACACAACTGATGAAATGAAGTAAACATAAATTTTATTATTAGGTCCAAGACATACATGAACAACCTGACTCACAGCCTCCTCCCTTCCTATAAATCCAGTGGTATTATACAAGTACAATGAGTAGCTGTCATTTATCATAAAACAAGGCGACAGCACGGATTCTGCCAAGCGATCATTCAGCGTTGAATTCCTTTGTGTCAGAGAGTCTCCTCTAATTGCTTTCTTGCCTGGAGCTGTGGAATACAAAGACTCTTCACCTCGGGAACAGCCGGCTAAACGCTTCTTGGATCCTCAGCCAGTCTGCACAGGACCAGCCCAATCTTGAAACCACACCAGGAGGCATATGTGGAAAGGTCATCGCCACCAGTGAGTGGTCAGATGGTCATCTTTAAGGGCTTAAGAGGTGAAGAACCTGTGGCTTTTTCTTTCTGGTGAAGTCGTATTCCATTTCAGTTGATTTATACGGTGCTCATTTTTTTAATATAAATGAATAATTTAAATGATGATTAATATTGAAGACTTTTTCACATTTATAGAGCTAAGGTTTTACTCATCTTTCGTCTTTTCAGTATTGGTTACTAGATATAATTTATGTGAATGACATTGATCATTTTATGGTTAAATTGTTTTTTTTTTACTTATCTCTTTTTAAGTGTAATTTTCAGGTGGTGTTTTACATTTGTGTCAAGCTGTTACACTAAAGACAACTGACTCCATTTGCCCCATTCTTGAGTGTTCCAGTTATTATGGTAATTGAGGACTCCATTAAAGAAATTTTTTCTCCTGCTGATCCTTTTTCCCAGGTGGAGGTCATTCCAAACTCAAGGGTGTGGACCAAAGGTGACCAGGCCTTTGCCATTAAAACTTCTAAACTTTAAATGACCTTACCTGTGGAATTCATGTGAGATTCATTTTAAAAAAAAGTTTTTTATTCTAATTTAATTTAAGTCTTTATTTATTTATTTATCTTATATTTAGTTAGCGTGATTTAATGTTATAAAAACATAACTAGTTGCGTAATTCCCTCTAAGTTCTGCGGCAACAGTGAAGATTCCTGTGTAAAAAAGAAATCTGCCTTCACCTGTATAGTCAAACACACCTCCCTTCGTTCAGTTGGAGTAAAGCAAACAGTTTTGACACCACGATTAAGACATATTTCACCTCACAATATGTAATGTGAGAACAAACTGAGATCGTCTAAGCAGAAGCAAAGAAGTGAAAAGGTTTTAATTCTTATCCCTGCTATGTTATTATATCATCCAGCTGTTAAATTCAGGCTAAAACTATTTAACTTCAGCAAACTTTGCATCTGTAACTGCTTAAATTATTTTTGACGACTTGTGTTAAAAATCAAATTTAACAGCTCTGACAATATTGCTTCATTGTTGCACTCGTAAACCAGAAGCCTTCCCCTCCCTGGGGGCAGGTCTGGAGTTCTTGGCAGGTCTCTATGGGAGGTGGTCTGAGGGTGTCTCCTTATAAAGGAGGAGTGAGCATCTCAGGGTCCCTCACTTTTGGCTGAGCATAATCACTGTCACTGCTTCTGCTGCATAACATATGCATCCTTGTGCTTGGCTGCTTCTGCCGTTCTGATCAAGCCTGTAATTTGGGCTGCATTTACTTAAAGGTAATACATTTTTATTAAGAAGGTTGTAGTCTCTTAAAAAAGAATGAAGAAAAAAGACTAAAATGTTTTGTTTTGTTAAAAGTTAACCTGATTCTTTAAATGGACATTGACTGTTTTAATGTGGATTTGTTTCATTTTTTTTATTCCATAGTTGGAGCAAGGATGCTCCGCCACTCTACACTGGTGCTGCTTCTCACAGCACTGACCAGTGTTTGGGCCCAAGACTACTCCGAGGACAGGAGGACAAGCAAAAGACCCCGGCCCAAACATTTGGCTGCAAATATTCACAATGGACAAGGTAGGACAGTTGTGAAAACAAGTTTTCTCATTTCATTTAATGTTATTTAATGTTACCTAAAAGGGTTGCAGTGGGAATAAAACATGATCTTGTGTCTGCACACAGCCATCGTGGATGAGGACTGTGGCCTGGAGCTCTCCTTCCTGTTGGACAGCTCTGAGAGTGCCAAGGACAATCACGAGCAGGAGAAGCAGTTTGCCATGAATGTAGTGGACAGACTTCAGGGTATCCAGCTTCAGAACGGTCGAAGCATGAGCCTGAGGGTGGCCCTGCTGCAGTACAGCAGTCACGTCATCACAGAGCAAACCTTTAAAGAGTGGAAGGGTGCTGAGAACTTCAAGACCCGGATAACTCCAATAATCTACATCGGCCACGGCACCTACACCACCTACGCCATCACCAACATGACCAAAATCTATCTGGAGGAATCCAGTCCTGGCAGCATCAAGGTGGCTGTGCTGCTAACTGATGGAGTTTCACACCCGAGGAACCCAGATATTTTCTCTGCGGTGGCTGATGCCAAGAACCAGGGCATTAGGTTCTTCACTCTGGGCATCACTTGGGCAGCCAACGAACCAGCCAATGTAGCCCAGCTGCGTCTTCTGGCCAGCTCCCCTGCCTCTCAATTCCTCTACAACTTGCAGGAGGAGAACATCGTGGAAAAAGTTGTCACAAAGATTGTGAGTACAATGCAAAATGTCTTTTAGCACAAAGCACTAAAGAAGTGGATGCATGTGTGCACAGGCTTGTTCAGGTATTTGCGTAGTGATGAAATGGTGACAATGCCATAAAGAAACATAAGAAAGAATTTTCAATAAATCCATGGGTTGTAGCCTTTGTCTCTGGGCTTTAGATGAGAATGTGGTGTAAATGATGCAACGTTTTGTTTAATCAGGAATAGTTTTATACCTCTCCATGAAGTAATATTAATATTTCTCCAAGTATTTGTGCTCCACTGACTTATCTCAACACATCTGACATCATTTAGGAAATGAATAAAGAAACCTGAGAAGTCAGATCTTCATCACCTCACTTTGTGTTTTCTTTTGCAGACCAACTTGGCTGATGAGGGTGTAAGTATGAGCCTAAACCTCACATTCAAGGATGTACCATTAGATCATTGCGTCTTCTGATAATATAGAATTACGTTCACGTCAGTTTAACAAACATCTCTCTCTCTTTTTTTTTGAAGTGCCCTCTGGCCCAGAGATGTGCATGTGAGAAAGGGGAGAGGGGACCCAGTGGGCCCGCGGTGAGTATTCATCCTCAAACTGTCCAACAGATTCCACAAACAAAGCTGTCACAGAGGTTTGACAGAGCACAGCACTCCAAGAATCTTAAAATCTCGCATAAACCTGCTATGACGGAGGTGCAGTTCAAAACAGTTTGGGGGGTAATTGTTTGCCGTTATCTCTAAGCCTCGGGGCATTTCCAGAAGCTAAGCTGTGTGAAAAGAGAAACATGTCACACATTGTAAAACCTATGGCAACAGAAAAGGGTGACACTGAGATGAATACAGTATGTTTGCTGCTACTGTGGGCGTCAGGTCATAGGAAGTTACCGTGCATTTCTCCAGAGTCTTCCATGGAAACCAGAGACAACACAATAAACCATTTGCCTTAAAAAAACTAAAACGTTGGTCAATTTAAATCAACACAATCCAATTTAATCCAATGTGATCCAATCCATTTGAATATAACAGAATAGTAATCAATCCAATCTAACAGAATATAATGCAACAGAATATTGTGGTATTGAAAATGTGCATTATTTTACTCCAGGGATCTCAGTACAAATGATAAATATGGAAAATACTTAAGTTACATAAACTAAAATGTTTTATTTTCACTTTTTTGTATTATTTGAAAAACAGTTAGTAAATATTATACATTTATACACCCATTTATATTAGACTCTCACTACTACAACATAAAACAAGGTTGGTGCATCTTGACACCCATCAGCATTATCTGTCATATAAACAAACATCCAAATAGCCCCCTCTTTTTCTCAGACAGCACTCGTAATGTGAAGCGTTTCAACGACTTGGTGGATAATCGTGCTGCTGAAAGACGGAGGTCATTACCCAGGTGCTCTCTCCACAGAGAGATGCTTCAAATTCTTGCACCGAGACTGAGAGTGTCGTCGTTATTGCATTCACAAACCAGTGATCTGCATTAGACAATGACTGACACACATCATCCAGGTGCAGATAACCCCTGGATTTATGGACAAGATGACTCAAGTCCATCCATGGAAAGTTCAAATCCACAGGCAGGGATTTACGGCAAATTCCAAATGGAGCTTTTGTCTTCTGTCTGTCTCAGACAATGTTTGTCCAGACAAAAACAGTCGTGCCTTCACCTGACAAAGAGCATAGCAGATACATATACTTCAGGTTTTAGTTTGGGGTTGTATATTTGGTGAACATTTTCAAATATATCTACGATATTTCATTTCATCCTCCAGGGAAAGAAAGGCCGTCCCGGAGATGACGGAGCTGTGGGGCAAAAAGGGCAAAAGGTGAGAATTTGTGAAAAAAGCACAACCTTTTCACAGCAGGTGGGCTCCTCTGAGATCTCACCTGCTTCCTCATATCTGTATCAACAAAAGATTAACATTCCCAGTATCTATGGCAAACACTTAATGTCATGCTAATCCTTTCTAATTAGGGTGAAGCAGGATTAGGTGGATTGCCTGGAAGAGAAGGTGTTGAGGTAAACAAACAATTTATGAAAGGTAAAAAAAAAACGTGTGAAATTGATATTCACAGTTGTTTGTTTAAACACGTAATTTTTTTTTCACAGGGAAAACTGGGTCAAAGGGGAGACAAGGTACGTCTATTTTTAACAGAGATACATCTGTTCTTTTTTAAAAAGTGGGAAAAAGTGAGTGACTTTTACCTCCTACACAGGGGGAGAGGGGTGAGTGCGGCACTCCAGGAATCAAAGGAGACAGAGTATGACAATTCCATTGACAAAAATTATTATTAAAGTTATTCTTTTGTTTTAAATTGTGTTTTTCTTTAATAAACTATTTTGATGTTTCTCCTTTTTTTAATATATCGCAGGGTTTTGAAGGAGCAGTTGGTGAAAGAGGACCTAGAGGCCTGCAGGTTTGTAATGCTCCATATGTATACGTATATAAAATAAATACACATTTCGGAGCATAAACGTGGGTACATGCTAGAAGAGTTTTCTATGTAACAATATTCAAATTTAAACTTCAATTAAGCCATGTTGAAAAACAAATCTGTGCATGTGGCTTGGTCAACGTACATATATATGCAATTAATATATATTATATGTATGCCAAAGTATATGGCCAAACTTTCATTTCAACTAAACATTTACCATTTTTATTCACTGTTACTGCGTGTTATAAGTTGACACACATTTATTAGCATTTATCCACCAGTGTCAGTGACCTCTAACCTGTAAAAAATGTCTTTGTCCAGGGTTTACCAGGACCTCATGGAGACATCGGACCAGAGGGCCCTCAGGGGAAGCAGGTCAGGTCGTGACGGACAGCTTTCATTCACTCCTCACCACGTCTCCTGTGACATTTGCAGCTTCTTTTTTATGACTTATTTAAACAAGAGCTTGTTTACCACCTTAGACTTCAGCACAGAGGGGCTTTTCTTTTCAGGTAGAGCAATAGGGCAATAATTCACAGAGTACAGAGATGAACATTATGATCCCAAGAAAATGCTATAGGCTCCTTCCATTGCCTGTATCTTGTTTCTAAATACAGACTACACGTCAGACCGAAGTGCCTACAGCATTGTCTGTCTCTGTAATACTACATATAGTTAACAACATATGTGGAAGTGCATTCATGCCCAGTGTCTCACCGTGTGTGGACATGTAGGTGGTATTTGTAAAAAAAAAGCAGTCTTGGTGGTCTCTGGAGTTGTATCCCATAAAGAGCTGCTGTAAGACAAGAATTTGTAACGCATTTAACACAGAGGTTAAGTTTTTAATGTAAGGGGGTTTCCTTTTAGGGCAAAGGAATACACTTTTATTATCTCCAGCAAATCTTATTGTGTGGGTGTGTATAGGAAGTTTTTTTTTTCATTAGTGTAAATTATTAGGTGTATCAGACATTTTAATCTGCCCCTCTAGAAATGTATCAATAACAAAGACCTCGCAAACTTTGGTTTGTTTACTTTTTTTTTCAAAATGCTGTTGAGTTAATCAAAAATTAATAAGTAAAAATAGAAGATATCACAGTGTCTATATCCTCCACACTGCATTAACATCTTTATGAACTGAATGTTCTTTGAAGTGATAAACCAATGTTGTGGTTTTATCACTATTGATGAGCTCATGCTGGAAGTATGAACTCTGTGTTGAATTAAATATTTTTTGTGATGACAGGGTGAACGTGGACCACTTGGTCCTCCAGGCCTACAGGGGGAAACTGGCATTGGTCTACCAGGAGCAAAGGTCAGTGTTTATTTTAAAATATTTGTCCTACTTGATTTATACATTTTATATATTATTATATATATTATTTAAAATATTTGTCCTACTTGATTTATATATTTAAATAATTTGTCAAATTTGAGATAAAAAACATTTCATGAATGCAGGTTACAAATATTCAATTAAAATGTTTTTTTTTCTCCAGGGTGATATGGGGTTCCAAGGCAGACCAGGACCTCCAGGTCATCCAGGACTGGGTGAACATGGACCTCCTGTCAGTAAACAAGCTACACTTTGTAATGTTTAATGTATTTTGTAGTTTTTCAAGCAATGATTGTGGTGTCACTGTGCTAATACGCTAAATGTTTTATTTAACAGGGACCTCAAGGACCACAGGGAATTCAAGGAGAAAAGGGACCTCAGGGAGAAGGATTACCTGGACCCAAGGTAAATTCCAAAATTGGATAAATAATAAAAAAAAATAATACCTGGACCCAAGGTAAATTCCAAAATTGAATGAATAATAAAACAAAATGCAGTCATGTTCATTCTCCACTGACCTATATGACACTCAAGTGTGACTAAATTTACAGCATAGTTTTATAACTCAATCTATGAATAAGTAAAAACTTTTCCAAGAGACACAAATGACAACAAAATGCATTCCCTATTACATATATATTTTTAGGACACACATAAGGTACCCGACCCAGGGTTTGGAAACTCTTCTCTATAAAATCCATCAAAGACAAAAATATCTACATGGTTGAATCAGTCACGGTGCCTTTCAGAAAATTCCAATGATTTCTCTTTAGAAATAACGTAAATAAAAATGGACCAAAATTTTCTAGCCTAAATGCGTAACAAAGCAGTTGTAAAAACTCTTATGTATCTACTATGTTGTCATAAAAAGACAGTGTTGGCCAGGGTTGTAACTGAGATCTCTGCAGTTCATGGCCTGCATTTGTCAAAATCAGATCTCACAACGTTCGCCTCACTGACTCACAGCTCAGGCGTTCACTCCAGCATTTCTGCTCAATCTGTGAAACGTGTAAAAACGACATTTTGACACAAAAAGAATGAGGGCACAGTAGTGTAGGGTTTTACAGTTTGAACCTGAAACAGTGGTTATTGCTGACAAGCATATGTATGGTGTCTTATTATTATCATTTTAACACAAGACTAGTTGTAACACAAGTCATCCTCGGTTTTTACTGCAGTTCATGACTGAGCTTGTGAGTAAATCAGACAATGACAGGAACATAATTATGTGGTGGTGGAAAGAGAGAAAGGAAATCTATGTACACGTTTATGACTAAAGGAAGCTCCTGCGCCCCCCCACCCCCCGAGGGTGTGAATTTATTGTAGGGGGGGCAGGCTTGTCAAATTAAGTACAAATTTAGTTGTTTGTTTGTTTTTTGCCACAATGGGAAAAAAGATTGGTTTGTAATCTGATTCAATTTTTTTTTGTTTTTAAGAATAACAATGTTTTAAATAAAGCATTAACTGTGAATGTGACATAAAAAGTCTGAATCCATGTGCATGCACACAGCAAATGCTGTGAAAGGAGTCAAGAAAATAATACCTGGGTGATGGGATTATTCCAACATCAATCACAAAAAGCTGACAGGAACCAACATGCTCTTTTTCCATAGTCCTATGACAGGGAACAATGCAGATCTGGCTTCAACTCAACTCACAATTTCAGAGGCTGTGATGTAACTGTTGACCTGATTTTGTTTTTCAGGGAGATCGTGGGCTCCCAGGGCTGAGGGGGCCGAGAGGGCAGCAGGGGGCAGGAATCAAAGGGGACAAGGTAATCTGGGTTCTGAAAACCAAAGATTTAAAAGTAGAATCCATGCAATAATTATCATGTAAGCATTGACTGAGTAAAAGAAAGAAAAACACAAACCTTGTGATTCTACCAATGAGATGTGAGGAATTGACAAATTTTAAGAGACTATTTTTTATTAAGTATTATGAAAAATGAAATCTAATTTTATTCAAGTGGAACTAACTTGTTTTTACCTGTTTGTGTTGTTTCAAGGGAGATCTGGGGCCTCCAGGCCCACTGGGACTAACTGGACCAATAGGAATTGGCATACAAGGAGAAAAGGTCAGGGGAATTATACTGCATTTATATTACTTAAAAAAGTATCGCTAATATTCCAGTATTGCACTGATGGGACTTTTATCACCATGCAGGGAATCGAGGGTCCCAGAGGTCCACCAGGAGGTAGAGGGGTTCCAGGAGAAGGTCTGCCTGGACTTAAGGTTTGCTGAAAACTAGTAAAAACCAAGAGTCATTACAAATCGTTAAGAATTTTCTACTTCTCACAACTGTCCACTGCTTCCATTTTTAGGGAGACCAAGGTTTACCAGGAGAGCAGGGCACTCCAGGAGAGAGGGGCATTGGAGAACCTGGGCCAAAGGTAACACATCCATGCTGCCGAACAAACCACTGAATTAAAGTTGTGTTATTGGCAATATATTGGCTTAACCAAACACTGAACATTCTCACACAGGGAGAGCCAGGAGCAGGTGGTTTGGGGGGACTTCCTGGACTTCCTGGGGAAGACGGAGCTCCAGGGCAGAAGGTGAAAATCCTATTGTTAGATTTTCACTAGAGATTCTTGGTTAACTATGAATATGATGTTCAACTGCGATGAAAGAGTACCTTTCATCAAGAAGATCAGTGGTTCAATTCCCTGGCTTAATTGACCAACCAAGGATAACCAAGACATAAAACTAAACCAATGTCTTTACTGACTGATTGTATTCAATAAATAATTGTCATTTTTAGGGTGAGCCTGGTCTGCCTGGGTCAAGAGGTCTCGAAGGAGCACCAGGAATTGGTATTCAGGGAGAGAAGGTATACCTTAAAAAATAGCACATATTCATATTCTTTGTATTCCAGATCAAATAACTTGGTTTTAATTTTCAAAGGGTGACCAAGGTATGAGAGGCATACGTGGATTACACGGACCTCCTGGGATTACTGGACCATCTGGACCAAAGGTAAGATTTGTTTTGATTTAGCTTATGAAGACTTGTCAATGTCAAAGACCTTTAAAGGTAGTAACAATTTAAATATTCTTAATATAAAGGAACTGTTAACTGCCTCTTTTTAGGGAGAACGTGGTATACCAGGGCACCAGGGTATGCCAGGCCCTCAAGGACGATCTGTTTCAGGTCCTAAGGTAAAACAAAGACAACATTCTGTTTCAGAAAGTAAACAACAACTACACAACAGAATATTGTTGATGCCTTCGAATTGATTTTCTTTTTGTAGGGTGATGTCGGTCCTTCTGGACCTCCTGGGCCTATAGGTGAAACGGGACATGGACTCCCTGGTCCAAAGGTAAAAACTAATAAAACAAGAAAAATTACCACCTGGAATCATAGTTTTACACTCGTCTTGACACTTGTCATCATTTAATTTTTAAACCAGGGTGATCGCGGTCACCCGGGTTTGCCAGGTCCACACGGTCCAAAAGGTGAAGGCAGTCCTGGCCCAGTGGTTTGTATTTTCTTAATAAATATAATCAACTATAACCTGATAATATCAAAGATTTACTGTGTGTGCTGACTGGTGCAATCTCAATTTATACATTTTCTTCAGGGTCCTCCAGGCTTGCCAGGTCTGCCAGGTGAAGTAGGGGTAGAAGGAATAGGAATTCCTGGACCCAAGGTTTGTATATACGTCTTTATTTGGTTGTTTGTCACTGTTAGAGTTCTTTGTGGTCTATTGTTGATATCATGTTTGTTTCAGGGTGACATTGGCTTTAGAGGATTGCCTGGTTTACCAGGACCACCTGGAGAGGGCATACAGGGACCACCAGTAAGTCTATGAAAAAACAAATATGTATATAATATAACAAAATAATATTAATAATTGTAATTAATATATATAACAATAAAATAATATTAATAATTGTAATGCTTTGTTGCAGTAGAGTCGCTCACCTCTGTATTAAAATTTCCCAAATTCAGTTTTCATGCACACAAATATGACTTTGACCAGAGTTGTAATAACTGCACTTGTTTGTCATAGGGTAATGTTGGCAGACCAGGACCTCCTGGTCCAACTGGACCACAAGGAGAAGGCATTCAAGGTCCAAAGGTACCTTTCACCTGCCTGACAAATTCGATGTGGGTCAAATATTTTGTCACAGTTTATAAAATAAAAGTTACATTTTGTTTCAGGGAGAACCTGGATCTCAAGGCATGACTGGACCTAGAGGGCCACAAGGAGAAGGTTTACCTGGACCAAAGGTGAGTTAAAAAAAAAAAAAGACCTTTCCAATTTTCAAAAATAAAGGATATAGTACAATAATAATATTATAATTACACCTCTGCTCTTTGTAACAGGGTGACCGTGGGCTACAGGGTGAGAGGGGAATGAAAGGTTTTAAAGGAGACATGGGAGATTCTGGAGTCGCTGGAGAAGCTGTACGTAAAAGAGATAGTAGAATTAGTAGCTCATTAACTAATTGGTCCTAATTGGTTTATTCAACTCACAGGGAAAGCCAGGAGCTAAAGGAGAACCAGGCCTGACAGTAGGTGTTTTCAGATATAGATTTAGTGTTTGGTCATGTAACAATGTATAATGAGTTCACACTGATGTAAGTGTCCCTTTTCAGAGAGAAGACATTATTAAGCTGATCAAAGAAGTTTGTGGTGAGACATTTGACTACTTTACTTAATAGTTATTGAATGAGCTAATGTCAGACTCATAATGAAGCATATTGTCATTATAAAAAGTGTCCAACCCGTACTGTGGTTTTCCAGGATGTGGCATCAGGTGCAAGGAGAGGCCCATGGAGCTGGTGTTTGTCATCGACAGCTCAGAAAGTGTCGGCCCAGAAAACTTTGAAATCATCAAAGATTTTGTCACACGCCTGGTGGACCGCACAACAGTTGGTCGAAATGCAACAAGAATCGGACTGGTCCTTTACAGTCTGGACGTCCTCTTGGAGTTCAACCTGGCTCGATACATGAACAAGCAGGATGTGAAGCAAGCCATTAGAAAAATGCCATACATGGGTGAAGGCACCTACACTGGCACTGCCATCAGAAAAGCCACTCAGGAGGCCTTCTTCAGTGCTCGACCTGGGGTCAGAAAAGTAGCCATCGTCATCACCGATGGTCAGACCGACAAGCGAGAGTCTGTCAAACTTGACATAGCTGTGAGGGAGGCTCACGCCGCTAATATTGAGATGTATGCCCTGGGGATCGTCAATTCATCTGATCCCACGCAGGCTGAGTTCTTGAGCGAACTCAACCTCATCGCCTCTGACCCTGACAGTGAACACATGTACCTCATTGATGACTTCAACACACTACCAGGTGAAAATCGGAAACATCTCAATGTTGGCACTGTAATATAACTATTATCATAAAGATTTCTTGACTGTAATGACTCGGAAACATCTCAATGTTGGCACTGTAACTATTATCATAAAGATTCCTTGACTGTAATGATTTTTTTTCAGCACTGGAATCCCAGCTCATCAACCAATTCTGCGAAGACGAAAATGGTGCGGTGTTTTACAATCACATCTTAAATGGACACCGGAACGGCAACAACGGTCATGGGTACGGTGTCGTTGAAAACCATGGTCACGTGGAGGACACCAAGGTGTATCATGGTCATGGAAATAATGGTTATGTTAATGGAAACGACGGGGGTAAGTTTACTGTTAACCATGAAGAGAACCAAATTCAGAGACGCCCCAACAGCCGCGGCCGTGGAGACAGTTTTGCCCTGCCCATCAGTGCAGATCCACTCCGAATTCAGGTCTTTAACATTGGATACACTTGTGGTATTTTCGTGGTTGTTTCACCTGAGGCAATTGGTAAATGGTTTTGACGTTTTCTTTTTCTAGGCTGTGGAGGAGGATGAGGGTGAAGATTTAGACATCAGAGCTCACATACGGAGCGGAAGCATCGTGTCTGCAGTCAACAGAACAACAGTGGTATCACCTAAAGTAGAAAGCTCAGTCTCCACAGGGACTGTCCTGTCATCTTCATCGTCCTCATCATCATCGTCCTCCTCAGCAACATCTTCATCTACACTGGTTTCAGTTTCATCTTCACAGCCCACTCTGCCGGAAACGGTGATATCAGTCCAGCCAGAAGGTGAGCGCTGCTCGATTTTACAGATCTTGACATCATGACAATGATTTGGTGAAAAAAAAAAGATTTAAAAAAACGAATCATTTGTCTCACGCATGGATTTTCTATTAGCAGCTTCTCTTCCTGATCCCCGCTGTAACCTCGACTTGTCCCAAGGCCACTGCCGGGACTACAGTATTCACTGGTACTATGACAAGCAGGCTAACTCCTGTGCTCAATTTTGGTATGGAGGCTGTGGTGGAAACAACAATCGATTCGACACAGAAGATGAATGCAAAAAGTTCTGTGTTCTGTCCAGAACAGGTAACATGCCTTTGTTGACTCTTAATTACACATTCATTGTGCAATAAAAATATACTAATTTGTCTTTCCTTTTTTGTGGCAGGATAAAAAGGGAGAAACGGACACCATTGAAAAGGGAATATCTATCCAATATTTTGCAAATGCAAATTAATGTTAATCTGATGAATTCTCATGTTTTGGAAATTCATTGCACTTTTTGGTCATGTTTTTCTTTACACTGACACATTGACAGTGCTTTCTAAATAGTGGGGCTTTTTCAGATTTAAACGAATTACTGAATGATGCTAGAAACCTGTTGCTGCTGCTCTGGTACACTTGTTGTTGCTGCCTGGTACACCTGACACACTTTGACTTCCTCAAAAACTGTTTTACCTCAAAAAATATCAGTCAGTGCTTAATCTGTCAAAACACAAACCATTTTACTGAGGCTGACCGCCCTGCCTTACATTTACAATATTCTGGGATTAAAAAAAATTAAAATTCTAATTATAGATATTTACACTATAATTCACAATTCAGATGTCTTTTAGTATCAAATGAATATATTTTTAGATAGACAGCTTAAGTGTGAAGTTTGTTTACATCGTGTTACAGTCGATCTTGTGAAAATGCTCTGAGTGTTTTGTCTGTTTGTTGTTATTACTACTGTGTCCATTAGCATTATACCCAGCAGCTGTCTGTGCTGGTACTGCCTACAGACTGTGGAGACACCCAGCCAGGAAGTCCAAGTGGGCACCACCCAGGTGACAATTTATATAGGTCACATACTGTGTTATTAGCTGCTCCCTTCAGACATATGTCAATCACATGGAATTTAAACTCACCAATATGGATTATTGTTCAGTCCACTATACTGGCTGGGTAATTTATTTTAAGGGAATCTGCAAACAATATAATGACAGGCTATCTACTGACAAAGCTTGTGTGTGTGTTTGTGTGTTTGTCTTATTCGTGATTTGTATTTTTTGTAATAAAAATGTTAAAAAATACACAATGTTGACTTGTTTTATGTTCCAAAAATAGTCTTAGACATTATATAACAGGACGGAGGGGTGCAGTAGTGAACTACTGGGATCCATGTTCCCAATTTTTCACTCTTTCATCAAATACGATAAAGAACATTTTTAGTAATGACGACTACAGGACTTTTGTCCCTTCGGCTTGCCGTCCGTTGCTACAGTGATTAAGATGCTAAACGGGCTTCTCCAGATTAGCCTTCCAACCTGGAGTACAGAGAGTGGGTGGATTACAGATACATTTATTAACAAACCTGTGGGTGACATTATTTTTTAAACATGTCGTCAGTTTTAGACGCGCTCTGGGAAGACAGAGACGTAAGATTCGACATAACGGCTCAGTAAGTAAACTCTCACAATACGTTTGCTTTGGAAATACAATGGTAGAAGCTAATTAGCTCCGGTGGGTTACATGGTCTAAACCTAGCGTATGGCTGAAGAATTTATTCTTTAAGACCACGATATTTTCAGCTCAAAACAGTAGATTTTTATAAACATATGCATTGAATCTCACCGATTTACATACAAGTGCGTCGTTGTCCACAGGCAGATGAAAACTCGTCCTGGAGAGGTTCTTATTGACTGTCTGGACTCCATAGAAGACACGAAAGGAAACAACGGAGACAGGGGTAAACCTGTTGTACCTTTCAGGTTAAAACGGTACTCATTTTGTTGTTTTGTAATAACCCATTTTTTCTTATCTTGCAGGACGTCTGTTAGTAACAAACCTGAGGATTATATGGCACTCACTGGCCCTTCCAAGAGTTAATTTATGTGAGTAAACCTGTAATAATTTCATTGTTATTAAGCAAAAGCACTGATGTAAATATCTTTAATCAAGTCAAAAGAGTAATATCATGATATGAAGATAATAAAAATGTGTTGCTCTGTCGTTAAATATAAATCTGTTTTGTTTTAGCTGTTGGCTACAACTCAATTATTAATATCACAACCAGAACAGCTAACTCAGTAAGTACACATCAAAATTATTATATAGTCAATTAATTATGATTAATGATTCATTCAACTCAATGAAGGTGATATTCATGTCATATTTTCTCTCTGACATGGATAAACATACAAACAAAATAATAGAACTTTTACCATTTGCAGTAAATAATTTATTCGGATAAACATACAAACAAAATAATAGAATAGAGAATAGACTTTTACCATTTGCACTAAATAATTTATTGTAATTTATTTATTGTGACTTCAAAACTATCTCTTTTTTTTTCAGAAACTGAGAGGCCAAACTGAAGCTCTCTATATCTTAACCAAATCCAACAATACACGGTTTGAATTCATTTTCACAAATGTGGTTCCAGGAAGTCCCCGGCTGTTTACCTCCGTCATTGCTGTACACAGGTTTTAAAAATTAAATCTCATTAAATCTTCAATTCTGTCCTAATGTCTGATCCAAGAATGTATCTGCTGTAGTGGTTTTTAATGTTTGGTTTTCTCGCAGGGCCTATGAGACGTCAAAAATGTACAGGGACCTGAAACTGCGTGCTGCTCTCATTCAAAATAAACAGCTGAGACTGTTGCCGAGGGAGCAGGTCTATGACAAAATAAATGGAGTTTGGAATTTATCCAGTGATCAGGTTTGTGTTTCTAATTTTAAATCATCACAAAAACATAAGATTTGTGAATGAAGATTTATACATTCAGACTGTTTTTTTAATTGAAAGATTTGTGAATGAAGATTTATACATTCGGACTGTTTTCTTAACTTGCTACATCCGAATCGCTGACTTGAGATTGTTCCTGTATTTTGCCTTCTTTCAGGGTAATCTTGGTACGTTCTTTATCACCAATGTCCGGGTCGTGTGGCATGCTAACATGAATGAAAGCTTCAATGTTAGCATTCCTTACCTTCAGATTGTAAGTATACTGTAGACGGCTAACATATTTTTTTTTCACAAATTCTGTTCTTTTCCACAAAAAAATAATGTAGAAGCAAATAACATTTCTTTTCCTCTACTTCAGTGGTCAATAAGAATTAGAGACTCAAAGTTTGGCTTGGCCTTGGTGATAGAGAGTTCACGTCAGGTAATCTGTCATCCCTTCACTAGTCTAATATTTATTCATTAACAATTATAGTCATCAATAACCGGTTTTGTTCTGTTTGGTTACAGAGTGGTGGTTATGTGCTTGGATTTAAAATTGACCCCGTGGATAAACTCCAAGATGCCCTGAAGGAAATCAACTCCTTACACAAGGTTTACTCCGTTAACCCCATCTTTGGAGTGGACTACGAAATGGAAGAAAAGGTAGAGAATATTGGTGTAACTTTTTATTCTAACTGACCACGGATGTCACAGTGTCATTCTGTGATTTTGTCCGTGCTTTGCAGCCGCAGCCACTTGATGAGCTCACAGTGGAGCAGCTTCCAGATGATGTGGAAATTGAGCCTGATGAGCAGACAGATGCGTTCACAGTGAGTGTTCCTGCTGGCCTCCACTACGCTCCTGTGGGGAGTCACTGGTTTGGTTTACAGGCTCTGAGAATAGCCCTTACCTAATGGTGGTGCTAGGTCTAAAAACTAAACATGACTAAGTTGTCTGCTGTTCCTGTTTGTCTGAGTGATGCCAACCTTTACATTCTAAATTGTGTATTTGCTCTTTTTTTTCTACTTTCAGGCCTATTTTGCAGATGGTAACAAGGTAAATTATTGGCAAACTATCTTTATTATAGAATGAAAAAAAAAAACACAGCAAAGGTCATTCAATATCATTTCTTTTTCTTTCTTTTTTTTACCCCAAAGCAACAAGATCGGGAACCAGTTTTCTCAGAGGAGCTGGGCCTTGCCATTGAAAAACTCAAGGACAACTTCACACTTAATGGTCTGTGGGAGGTCATGGGCTGAAGCAAAATGTGTTTCTGTCTATGTTTCTGTAAAAACTTCTTTTGGCTTAATCTTTTAAAAAACAATGTTTTAGGGGATACTGTAAATAAAAATATTTTGTGGCACTTGTTGAAATTTATAAAACAGTTTGAACCATAACAAATTATATGTATGTTTCTGTCTATGTTTCTGTAAAAACTGTTATATATTTTGTGGCATTGTTGAAATTTACCATATGTCACAGTTACATTGGTTGTGGACATGTACTGTATATAGTATATTTTGTCACTGTGGTTAGGAAGTGAACAGTATTTCAGATTGTATTTTTAAATAAATTAATGTGTTCATGTATTTTTTTCCAGTTGTGTTGTGTGTCAAAATAACAATGTTGTTTTAACAAAGCACCAGTATTTAAAAAATGTTGGCAGAGGACAGTGTCTCCTGCTGGGCCGACAGCTGTCCTCTGTCCTTGTCAACTTCGTTAGGTAATTCCCTACTGAAGGGGTTGACGCACAAGTTCTCTGTCAGATTTCCCACATCTTTGTGGGTGAAATGTGTCTGATCAGGTAAATGTGGTAAATGTCCAGTATACCCTGTACGTTGGACCACACAGTTCTGCCACTGAGGTTTGTATTTTCATTATACATTTGTTTGTCGAGGTTTGTATTTTCATTATACATTTGTGTGAGTGTGTCATAAGGTTCTATTGTATTTGACACAGGTACAAAAATGAAAAGATCACAGGTTATTTTTGTGTGTCTGCACAACAATGTTTTTATGAATCACTAGAGCAACAAGGCTGCGACAGCTGTGTGAGCTTACCGAATTGGGCAACCTGAATTCTTGCTGGATGGAACTGTGGACTATATTTAGAGGGACACAGTTATATTGAAGTGGCCTCAGACCTGACTGCCTATAGTTGTCTTTGGGCACCAGCTGGAACGGTCAGTTGAACCCTGCCTCACCTTCGCTGCCTTCGTCTACAGAAATGGATCCCCAAAGTTTGAGAGAAGAGCTTCATTTGTTCCAGAGCACTTTGTTACAGGACGGACTCAAAGAGCTCCTGAATGAGAATAAGCTGGTGGACTGCTTCCTGAAAGTTGGAGACAGAAACATTCCCTGCCATCGGCTCATTCTGGCGGCATGCAGTCCGGTTTTCCGGGAGATTTTCTTCTCGGAAGATGGCAAGGAAGTGGGCCAGAATGAGGTTCCCCTGGAGAACCTGGATCCTAATACCATGGAAGTGATCGTGAATTACATGTACTCGGCCGAAATAGACATTAATGACAATAATGTTCAAGACATTCTGGCCGTGGCCAATCGCTTCCAGATCCCATCGGTGTTCACGGTTTGTGTGAACTACCTGCAGAAGCAGCTGTCCATGAAGAACTGCCTGGCCATCTATAGACTGGGGCTGATGTTGAACTCGACCAGATTAGCCATGGCTGCTCGGGATTACATCACAGACCGGTTCGAGTCCATAGTCAAGGATGAAGAATTCCTAGAGCTTGCTCCACCGGAACTCTTTGCCATCATTGGGGCAGATGGACTGAATGTGGAAAAGGAGGAGCTGGTGTTTGAGTCTGTCATGAAGTGGATCAGGAAAGACAAAGAAAAACGCATCAAATCCCTGCCAGAGGCCTTTGAGTGCATTCGCTTCCGACTTCTGCCGGAGAACTTCCTCAAGGAAAAAGTGGAAAAGGACGAACTCATCAAGTCCAATCCTGAGCTTCTCAAGATTCTCAAAAGTGTCAAGGATGCCTCTGCGGGGAAACTGCCGGAGAAGAAGAAAGGATTAGGTGAAGAAGGAGAAGAAGAAGAAAAGCTGCCTGGCCACTTGGATGATAATCGCAGATATGGCATGTACGCCAAAGACATGTTGCTGATGATCAGTGACACAGCTGCTGTGGCTTATGACGGCCAAGAGAATGAATGTTTTTTGGCTGCCTTGACTGAAAGGATCCCACGAAACCACGTCAGCCTGACGACGAAAAAGAACGACCTGTATGTGTTGGGCGGACTCTTTATTGATGAAGAAGACAAAGAGAACCCGATGCAGTGTTACTTCTACAAGGTAGAACACATCTGTTTGATATGCCTCAGTGTTCAGCACAAGATTCTCTCTTACATTTGTACATAAAAAAAAACATGTCTCCCAGTTGGACAGTCTCACATCGGAGTGGACTGCTCTGCCGCCGCTGCCCTCGCCCAGGTGTCTGTTCGCCATGGGAGAGTTTGAAAAACTCATCTTCGCTGTGGCAGGAAAGGATTTGCAATCCAGTGAATCACACGACACTGTGCTGTGCTACGACACTGAGTGGGTTTCAAACTACCCACCACTTGTTTTTTAATGCATTTTATTGCTGCGGCTATATTTTACTATGCCTTGTTTCATCGTCCTTTTCAGAAAAATGAAGTGGAGTGAGACGAAAAAGTTACCTGTGAAAATCCATGGCCACTGTGTGGTCTCAGACATCGGGCTGGTGTACTGTATTGGAGGCAAATCTGATGACAAGTAAGACTTGGATAAAAGGGCGGGAACAATTTTAATTTGTCTATTAATCTATATAATTTAAATATTTTAATCCATGCTCAGTACAATACACCCTGTGTTTTGTACTGATAATTAATCCATATTACTGTGAATAAAATTTTAATTTAATTGACAGCCCTGAATAAATTACACAATTTAACTTTTTTTTTCAATGTTTGTACCCACTTTGTCTGTGGATTAAAGTAAATCGACCAACAAAATGTATGCGTACAACCACAAGAGGTCAGAGTGGAAGGAGGTGGCCTCCATGAAGACCCCCAGGTCCATGTTTGGAGCCACAGTCCACATGGGAAAAATTATTGTTGCCGGAGGAGTCAATGAAGAAGGCATCACGGCCACATGTGAAGCTTACGACTTTGGAACCAACAAGTACGTTCTCCCACCGTCAGAGCTACAACAAAATATATGGAAATAATGTCGAATACTATCACACATCCAAGTATAGTAGTTCTCAGCCAGAGGTTCAGGGACCCAAGGGGTGCCATGGGCTATGGCGAGGCAGCCTGCAAAACATTTTGAAAAGGTCAAAGTTTTACTCTGGTGTTTAATCTACAACTAAGCAGCACCTTACTTCCAGCCATATTTGAGTTATTGTCAGGAGACACTATAGTCTGTATCTTGGCCTTGTTGACCTCAAACATCTTTGTTGCAGGTGGGCTCCATTTACAGAGTTTCCACAGGAGAGGAGTTCCATCAACCTGGTCAGCTGCGGAGGGCTGCTGTACGCTGTCGGGGGTTTCACAATGGTGGAGGACGAGAACAAAGAGTGTGCACCCAGTGAAGTCATCGACATCTGGCAGTACGTTTTTTTTTTTTGCATTTTATATTCATGTACATATTATCTTATAGTTTTTTAATTTTATGGCATCAATTCTTTCCTTCACCTTTACTTCCCCGTCCTTTCTCCCCACCAGATACGACGATGACAAGAAGCAGTGGATAGGAATGATCAAAGAAATGCGATACGCAGCCGGTGCCTCCTGTGTGTCCATGCGTCTGAACACAGCCAGGATGCCCAGACTATAAAACTGTATATTTTGCTGCTGTAGGAGAACCTCACTGCTCACACGAGGGTCATGGTTGTTTCGATTCTCTCAACATCTCAGACACACACCTTTACCTTTTGGGTACATTCTTCTAGTACATTTGTCTTTTTTAACTTTTAGGGAATCAATCTCTCGCCTTAAGTCCCAGCTAATGGCATGTAGTTTTCATCACAGCCTTTAGAAAAGTGTTTTATGTAAAATAAATAAAAAAAACACGTACATATCAAATATGTTTGCCTCACAATAATTTGTGTTTATGTTTAAAAATAAGCTTTGGACACGTCAGTCGTCTGTCATTCACACTTCATGGATTCATGGTCAACTGAGAGCAAACAGTTAACCTAATCCTCTATGATTTTTGGACTCTGGAAAGAAACTGGAAAATGTTTAATAATAAAGCATTACTTGAATCTTGAATCTTAATTTCAGACGACTATTTAACGCAATCGATTCCTGCTACATTTGACTTAAAGAATTTGTTGCTGTCGTACAAATTATATATGTGATTATAATCTATGGAAGAATCATTAACATCTTGGTGATAATCCAGACATGTACAGTATACGAAAGACATTTTTAAATAAATTAAGTGTATCTTTGCAGAGTTAAACAGGTGACATTACAGCAGAATGGGCTCTTATGATCATAGAGTTAGTTTTCATTAATGTTAAATTAACCATATGGACATCAAAATTTTAATTTTATTTAAAAAAAACCTAATCTTATACAAAAAGGACAATATACACAGTCACAGGGAACCTTGTCGCTCCATGACAAAAGTGGAGCACTTAAATATCAGCCACTTAGCCATGCCAAGATACTTATTTTGCCTAAGTTCACATTCTTAAAATAAATCAATTATTATACAGTGTATATATATATATATATACAATATGCACACATACATGTATATTTAATATTAAGGCATTCAAGAAGAAATCTCTGTAAAAATCTTCTTCCGAAGATATACCTTCCAAGCATCTGGTGATGAAAATTCCATGGAGTGCCATTCAAAGTGAGGGATCTAAGATTTAATTGAAAAAAAAAGTATTAAGTAAAGTATTACTTTTGTGCCTGCTACAGCCTGTGTCAAAGGTCAATGGGACTTGAGTCTTTTCACCTGAACAACGCGATATCCCAGGATTTCCAGGTGTCTTTTTTTCATCATGGCTGCACCATTAATGTGATGGGCGTTTTTACAGAAAAACTTTGAACTAAGGAAGACCACAGCGACTCTGGAAGAGGAACAAAGAGCAGCAACAAAAAACATTTGAGTTTCTAAATATTTGCATAATTGCTGTATTCATGTTAAAATTCAAATAAGCTGCTACCGCTGCGCTCCAGGTGGCAACGTGTGCATAACCATGTCCCGTGAGCTGGTCCCCCACTGAACCCTCTCTCTGTCTGATATTGACAATGTGCTTACATTACTGTAAGGCAAAGGCTGCAGGTGTTTGTCCAGTATACATTCAAAGTCTGAAAAAGAAACACATGCACAAAGAACTTCCATTTTTGTGTGTAAGAAGACTGATTACCTCAACTAAAAATGCTCTGATATCACTCACCGAACATGTAAAAGTATGGCGTGATAACTGCGGGTCGAACATAGTTAACGCCTCCAAGGATATCAACCAACATGCTGTGGATCTGCTGCTGAACAGAGCTGAGACAAAAGGTGCCTGAAAACAGACATTTGATACTGCAAATTAAACTGAAAACAAAGTATTAATCCACAGACATTAAAAGACAACCAAAAACAACATTACTGTACCTGTGTGATGGTAAAACTTGCAGTATTCTTCATGAAACCATGGCACCTGGAACTCTGGACACTCTATGCACACGGCTCGATTGAGCTTCATGAGGTGCAGGCGCGTCCACCAACTGAGGGATTTAGACAAGGCTGTAAAAGTGATGTGAAACAGGTTAAAGCAGAGCCCGGCATTTTCATCTTGGGAATTCATAATAATGACAGAGATTCACACAGGACACCTACTTTCTAGATGTGAATCCAGCTTTCTCAGAAAGTCAACACAGAAGACTGCTCTGATCAGTTCTTCGGGGAAATATCCAGCCTTAGCCAAGCAATAAGACAGGTCAACCACCAGGTGGGGGTGTAGGGAGTCTATATATGGTTTAAAGTTGAGAGATGGCGTCAGTGTGAACTCACAACTGGTCAAATTCAAATAAAGCGACGTATTGCTTACTGATGTGAGGAGTGATGTACTGGACGGACATCTCAAACAGCTTTTCCACTTGTGCAGAATCGTAATTCATGTGAGAGTAGAGACGCAGTAGGGCATATATGGAAGTGTAGTGAATCTGGAAAATGATACAGCAATTTACAGTTAGTATAAGTATGTTAACTTGGTTTCAGCATGCTGTGATGAAGAGTTAATTTCGTCAAATGCTTAGTCAAACAAAAACAGAAAGCAATGAGGGGCTAAATGACGATGACGAAACATATTGACGCACTTAAAAATGGAGAAAAGAATCTACCAGGTTTGATGTCCAATTCCCGGTGACTGAATTTGACAAATGACATTCAAACGGAGATCCAATGAACATAATTCGGTATGAAAACAGGAGCGGGGAAAATCTGGTTTATTCCAGACCAAAACTAATAAATAATTATATTTTTAAATTATAAATGTTCACATTCATATACTATATAGGCCTAATTAAGATTATAAGATCTTTTTAAATATGAAAATATTACACATAAGTTACAATGTAATAATGAGACTAAGACTGTCAAAGCCCACACTGCAGTGATGTTTCTTAAAGTACCTTGTCAATGTCTTCAATGGCAACACTGACAATTCTGTCCAGCAGAGGAGGGCAGATGTGTTTCATCTTCCATAAGAAGGTTGCCAGGTTCGGAGCAGTTTTCCAGCATATCTGATCCATCATCCCCTCTATAGTGGCTATTGTCTCATTGAGCAGAGTTTCATCAAACCACTTCCCATGGACAAATCTGAGGTCCCTTAGCACTACGTCTAGCTGATCAGTTTTTTGCAGCCACTCTTTTCCGTGGCGTTTCACAGCTTGCAGTAGATGGACATACTTATCGGGTGTATTGTGGCAGTAGGACCGATCTTTCTCTATCCATTTGTCTACAGCATAGACAATGGTCTTCAGATCGTCAAGACTACACTGTGGTATCATTGCCTCCAACCGTGACTTGATTGTCTGATCCAGCCTCGGGTTGGGCAGCATTGACAAGGTCCGGACTAGCGCAGCCAGCTCGTGTGGAATTGTCTTCTGCTGCAAAAAACTGGCAAACAAAATACAGTTAGTCCTTCAGTCAGACAACCAACTATCCCCTGGCAAAAACAAACACTCACTTTAGTGTGGTGTTTTTCAGCGCAGTGAGGAGCTCAGGGTTTTGGTAGTGCAGCCTGTAAAGGTATGTGGTGATTCTGGCCACTTCTATTGGTTTATAGTTGTGAAGATTCCTCTGGATTGCTGATGCAACTCTGGAACATAATTCCGCATGAAAATAATGTGATAGATATTTACTTCGAGTTTTAAAAACATGCAAGCAACAACTTTATTGTTACTCAGTTAGCATTTGTATCAGACTGGTTATAAAAAGAAGGCATCTATCAATAGCGTTGAAGATGTGGTGTTTTATATATATAAAAAAAATTATATAAAATATTCCCAGGAACTTGGTCTTTAACAACCCATCCCAAAGCCTGACACTTTGGATTGATGATGTAACATGTCTATTCTACATGGCAGTAATACACACTCACTTGTTCAATAAGCTCAGGTTGCTGCTCTGCATCTCTCTCAATGATGTAAGTACATACAAAGCCTGATGTGCACTGAGATCGTCTGCTAGCAGCAAGGCGGTGTTCTCCAACCTAAGAGTAGTGAGACCACAGAGTAGACTGGTGAGGATCAAGGACTCTGTAGGAAATTGGATTTCCCTTCAGGTGAAATTTCTACAAACCTTTCTCTGAGTTTTGGATTTCCCATGGGAGCCAATGCACAAAACAGTTGAAAAAAAGAGAATGGGTCAGTGCTTGAGTCAATCAGTTCTATCAGTCGTTGTTTTGCAGCCAGATTAAACTCGCTGTTGTGGAACTGGAGGGACTTATAGAACTCCAGGATCATGTTGATGTAAGTTGTACTCATAAAAGCAACGTTTTGCATAAATATCTTGTTGCACTTTTCCAACATTGGTATATCCACATGCTGAAGATGACGCAAGAACTGCACCACTCTCCGAGGATCGGAGAAGTCGACACAATTATTTATGTCTATAAGATCATCTGCTCTGCTAATTAAGGCATCTCGGAGCCGAGGGGATACAAGGAAAGACGTGCTTGTCATCAGTGAGGTGAGGACCCTGTAAAAAGAATGTCAATGAGTGAATCAGTCATACGAGTTGCATACAACAGACCTGTATGGGCTCATGACATACCTGGCTTCAGTGATGGAGGACAGCTTCTTGTCCAGGATGCTGGTGATTTGGCCAAAAAGACGACTGCATCTATTGTGGTGATCAACTAGACAATTGGCAAACTTTGAAAGGCTGGCGATCGGTAAACTGGAAAAAATGACATTAGAGTAACAGTAAGTTAAAATGTTAAACTATATTTTATTATATTGCATTTATGTTTTTAATGATAACTGTATATTTGTTTACAAAAAAATAAAAATATTGCAGATTGTGTGGCATTGTGCAAATACATACAGTATATGGTAATAAATAATTAGTTTATTAATTTAAATAAGTATGAATATTGTTGATATAATATTGTTGTGCTTTGCATAAAAAAACAAATTAAAATGAAGTGAACTGTACCTCTCCAACCTTAACCATGCTTCTGAAACCAGATGTTGAATGACAGAGTCGTGAGGAGCAACATGCAATCTAGAAGAAAGTTGTTAATTTAATGAGCTGACTTGACACAAGTATACACAAATCCCATTTCCAAAAAATACAATTCACAACAACTGTAATAATCATAAAAAAACTGCATTTAAGAAATTAACTTGGACTTTTTGCATTTTACTGAAAAATGTTATTATATTTGTCAAACAAACATGTTCTACTGTATTAAAATGTACCTCAGAAAGTTGTAGAGTGTGTCCACCAACACAGGATCATCCATCAGAACTGTTTTATTTTGAGCCAAAATCTTGAGGGTCAAGAACTGAGGGTGGGTGTTAATAGGCTCCAGCCTCCTGCGGAAATCTTCTGTTTCCCTCTCAAAGTGCCACAACATCCTCACAGCACAGCTGACATGGTTCACTGTGAGCTTGGCTATGTTCTTGCCCACCAGATCAAGCACCTGGTTATTGTCTGAGCAAACCAGCAGCTGTTCCAGAACCTGGTCTGTGTTCCCTGTCCCAACATGAAGGAGCCTACGACAGCAAGAATTTACAAACCGGAGCCGGAACATATTTACATGCCCTTTGTCTGGGTTAAGATGTATGGACAAAAGTCTTCACTGCAGTCATAGTGTCCACTGAACACTGGTGTCAAACGCAGAAGGTTCAGCCAAATGGTTCAACAATGAGATGTTCTTCCTATGTCAACTTAAAAGAAACAGGCATTAATGTAATCCCAACTACTACATTCTATATATTTGGCATCTCAGCAATAAAAACTTACTTGCTCAGAGGAGGACATCTCTCATTGGGGTTGTGCAGAAACATCTTTAGTTTCCTATGCGGGACTATCAATGGTTACCCTAGTGCTGTAATGAGGCATTCACGTGGGTAAAAAACACTTTCCTAAATTGTGTAAAACCATCGCTTCAACCTAGTGGTACAGTTATAATTAAGGCTTGTGTAGGTTTTTCTAGACTTCAGTAATGTTTACCTGGCACCAGATCCAGTACTGTCCATAAAGTTACCCATTCAAAGTCAAACCAGTACAGCATGTGTGCTAACATGTGTAACATTTCCTTAGCCAATGTTGAACGATTACGTGTTGAACCCTGGGTTTGTTCTTACAGGCAAAAAATAGAGTAAAGAATAAAGCGTATCAATATAACGAATTCGATTTTTTTTGTATATATTCTGACTAGATTTTCCTAGATTTGCCTCTGGTATTGTGACATTTTTACAATCACATAACAATTGACGAGATAAACTCTTTGAGTCTTTTTAAGTTAGGAATTACTTTCACTGACATCCCTTTCCACATTGGAGGCAAACTTCTTTTTAAAAAAAATATTTTTAAATAATAGTTGCAAGTAGTTTTCCTGCATAGTTAACAATGGTGAGAAGGTGATTAATTTGAAACCAGGCCACGTTGCTATATATAAATTAACATTCATTTACTTCATAAATTGCAATTTACAAACACCTAAAGTAGTTGTGACTGCCAGTACGTTATTCAAGGACAAAGCTGTGCCTGACAGGTAAAGTTCAGGGTATGAAAACCCTGTGTTTTTTTTCGAGTGCGTACTCTACGTTGAATGGAGCACGAGCACCCGGAGGTTGACGTCCCTGTCGCGCCATCTTTGGAAACAGTCGGCTCAACGCTGAATGAAACTTCATTTCCCGTCGTTATTTAACCGCTGCATGTTTCATTAGCAGAAACCACTGCTTCTCAGGTGATGAGATATTTTCAATTAATTAAAGTACTAACTGCACACGTAGATAAGGGATTTCAATAGAAGGCCCCGTGTTGTGTTAGAAGCCGAACTCTTCGTTATGTTTTGACGCTAGTCGTGCTGGCTAATGCTAGCACCGGGCCTTGTGTTAACGCTGGGTTTTAGTGAAACTGCATAATAAAATAGTCACTGTGGGTAAATAAAACCGTTTTTTAAAAGCCAACTTTATTTTTTGAATGACGTTACCTAGTAAGTAAAACGGTTCGACAATACCACTCATAACATTATGTTAATGAAACGCTACTCTGTTCCATGAAACGAATCGTCTTTTGGCCGTTACTGTTTATTTTGCATGCTTAGTCTTGCTTGAACTAATTTGTCTGCTGAGACGTGTTAACCGTGTTATATCCCGTTTTATCCCATTGTCACCTCAGACTCTTTGTGAATCTGACCTGCAGGAGCTTGATCAGAAGAGGTTAATCATGGGGATAAAGGTCCAGCGCCCTCGGTGCTTTTTTGACGTAGGAATCAGCAACGTGCTCGGTAAGAAGCAGACCGCATGCTCATAAACATGAAGTCACGTGTAAAGTGTCGAATAAATATGTATTAAACAGATATAGTCCAACTGACTGTCCCTGAGGGCATACAAAGTTGCAGGATTGTAATTAGATTGCATATGTAGTAGCAGTAAATGGTATATTACGAGCATTGCTGCTCTAATGAGGTTATTGGTAGATGTGCATGGTTAAAAATATTTTAACCTTTAACTCAACCCTAAATCAACGCATTGTGAGCTCTCCTAAAATGTAAACAAGTATTTGCTTTTGGGCATATATGGATACAACTATTGTTTTGTCACCTACGGAATTTGAAGGAGAAGAACTGGCATGTCAACATAGTTTCTGTGTTTATATGTATCTGTGTGAATGAGGCTTCAGTGTCCACACCTCTACATTAATCAAACAGTGACCAGCGAATGACGTGTTTAAAACAGAAATCTTCTAACCTGTTGTCTTCAGTTGGCAGAATCGTGGTAGAGTTGTTTTCAGACATTTGTCCCAAAACATGTGAAAACTTCAGATGCCTCTGTACCGGTAAGGAATACATGGACCTCCCAAAGCTTATCAATAATACTTGCTTCTCATGGCACACACTTCAAGGAAACCTTTATCAATTAATTTTGTATTATCCAGGTGAGAAAGGCATCGGTAAAGGAACACAGAAACCACTGCACTACAAAGGATGTCTGTTCCATCGTATTGTAAAAGACTTCATGATTCAAGGTGGAGACTTTAGTGAAGGTACGTAGATGTGTTAAATATGTTTTTAACTTGACTAATGACTGTCTATGTTTTCCTCACATTTTGAAATAAAAAACAATCAAGCTGTTTCAACCAAACAATATTTACAAAAATTACTTATTTTTTTTGTTTGTGTGATGTACTTATATACTTTTTACTTCTCACAGGCAATGGAAGAGGAGGTGAATCAATCTATGGAGGCTTTTTTGAAGGTAAAAAAAATAAATACCACAGTTGGTCACTA